CGGCCGGGGAGCGGGGAACGGGGCCGTCCTGCCGCCCTCCTGCCTGCACCCTGCCCGTACCCCGCCCGAGTGCTGCTAGAGCCCTGCCTGCACCCTGCCCGCTCCCTGCTAGCGCCCCAGCTCACACCACCTGTCTGTACCGTGCCTGCACCCTCCTGCACCCTACCCAACCCCACCTGCACCCTACGTGCTGCCTGAGCCCTGCTCAGCTCTGCCTGCACCTCACCTGCACCCCACGTCCTGCCTGCACCCCGCGCTCTGCACAGCCGGCCAGGCTGTCCCCCTCCCCTGCACACCTGCACCCCAACTCTGCTCCCACTGGTAATGGGTGAGGTGCTGCAAAGTGGGGAATGAGGGAAGGCACCCCCGTGGAGCCCCCTCACCCCTCCCCAGGGCTGGGGACCGTGCCCAGGGCTGTGGGGGTGACAGCAGCAGTGCCAGCATCCAGCCCCGCGAGCTCGCCCTCCCCTGCACACCTGCACCCCAACTCTGCTCCCACTGGTAATGGGTGAGGTGCTGCAAAGTGGGGAATGAGGGAAGGCACCCCCGTGGAGCCCCCTCACCCCTCCCCAGGGCTGTGGGGGTGACAGCAGCAGTGCCAGCATCCAGCCCCGCGAGCTGGCAGGGCTCTGGGGCCCCTCAACACCTCACTCTGACCCGTTCTGCCAGGCCTGGGGTGATGCTGAAGGGCCACGGGGACACCTGGGGACTGCACAGGTGTGGCTTGGCTTGGTGCTGCACATGCCTTGACCAAAAGCCACTGGCTGGGATATGGAGGAGCAGATCTGCTTCAGCCTCTGCCCAGAGTAGTTCTGCAGGCAGGGGCAGTGGGGCTCGGCCCTCTAGGCTGTGGTTTGGAGGCTGGAAATGCCCCCTGGTAATGGCCAAGGCCCTGGAAGAGCACATGGGGGTCCCTGAATCAGTCAGTAGGTGCTGCAGAGCCCCAGCTCAAGGGGTTTTGGGCTCAGTGTCCCTGGGACAGGAGCAGCTGGAGATGGAGATGGGTGGTTGTAGGCAGCATGCCTGGCCATGGTTGTGTGCTGGAGACCCCACCAAAACCATGCTGAGCATAGGGGCCTCCTTTGCACCCCAACGTGCTTGTTGGGCTGAGTGACTGTGCCAGGGTCAGTGTCGGGAGAGGGCTGGGGTGCAGAATGGGCGACCCTGGGGCAGGGAACCTTGGGGGAGAGGCATGAGGCAGGCAGCACTGGAGGCACAGTCTCCCTCCTGGGTGCTAGACTGGGCCAAACCACCTCAGGCCACCAGCCCAGGATGGGACAGAAGGGGACAATCTGTGACCTAGTGTGTGGCACCTCCGTGTGCCCACCAGATTTTCCTCAGCTCCACTTCCCTACTGCAGGTGCTCATGTGCCAACCCCAGTGCGAGCCACAGGGCACGGCACTGGCATGGGGTGTGGCACAGCTGCACATCATAGCATAGCTTTGGCACTACCCAGCTGTCAAGTGGCTCTGGTGGCAGGATGCCCATCCCCAACACTTGCAGCCCCCCACCCCTGGCACCGGGACTGCCCTGGTCCCTGCCACAGGGTCAGGGCCACATCAGGCACCATCCTGCTCCCTCATTCTCTGCCATCTCCATGTGCCCCACCTGTGCTAGGGTAGGGGGGGTTGTCTCTCAGAATGTGAGGCCTGAGGGGGATGACACTCCTCCGTGCCCTGCTGGGACGGTGTGTCATGGCCTGACCCTGCACCCCCCAGCCATGAGCCGCCGCGTGGTCCGTCAGAGCAAGTTCCGTCACGTCTTTGGGCAGCCGGTGAAGGCCGACCAGATGTACGAGGACATCCGTGTCTCCAAGGTGACATGGGACAGCTCCTTCTGCGCTGTCAACCCCAAATTCCTGGCCATCATTGTGGAATCAGGTGGTGGTGGGGCCTTCATTGTCCTCCCCCTTGCTAAGGTGAGCAGGGGGCCCCTGGGATATATTGGGGGGCACATGCCCATGGGCTTTGGTTTTGGGGGGCTGCTGATGTCTCAGAGCCCCCCAGCTCATGGGAAGCACAGCTTTGCCCCAACATCCCTGTCCTCATGTGGGCGCTCAGGGCAGAGACAGCCTGGGGTGGTCATGGGCAACCGTGAAGGGTGATGTCCCAGGGGCAGCTGAGGTAATGTGGGATTTCTCCCCAGCCCAAATTCCTTGGGGGCATGTGGTTCCCGGGGAGCATCCCCGTGAGGTGAGGATCTGCCCTGCCCACCCCAGCAGAGAGAGTGGGGACCCCATCCCAGCCCCTTCATGCCATCACAGGGGACACCAACCAACCTGTCTTGGGGCACATTCTTCCCCTTTGTGTCCCTCCAGGGCTTTGTGCTAAGTGAGCCCTATTGTCACAGTGTGCCTCAGTTTCCCCGTTCCAGGGAGTTGCAGAGCTCTGGCCACCACCAAAGCCCCCAGCGAGTCCCCACTTGTGCCACAGCCCCACGCAGTGGCTGGGCTGGGACTTGGGAGTCTCCCAGTGGGGTCTCCCTCGGCTGCTGGGGGCTCATCCTGGCACCTTGGCATTGCAGACAGGACGGGTGGACAAGAACCACCCGCTGGTGACAGGGCACACGGCGCCTGTGCTGGACATCGACTGGTGTCCCCACAACGACAACGTCATCGCCAGCGCCTCCGAGGACACCACCGTCATGGTGAGGGGCCGGACCCCTGGTGGGAGGGGGTTGGTGGGTGCTGGGGGAGCGACACGGAGCATCTTCCACCCCCTGTGGCTTTGCTGCCTGCGAAGTGTCACCGGGCTATTTTTAGCCCCGTGCCATGCGTTCGCGCTGGCGGCGGCTGCTCTCTCCATGATGCAGCAGTTTGTGCTAAATATACTCGCCCTGGCGACTCAGCACCCAGGAATAGCTGGGGGGGCTACGGGCTGCACCTTGGCTGTGCCCCGGTCAGTGTCGGGAGAGGGCTGGGGTGCAGAATGGGCGACCCTGGGGCAGGGAACCTTGGGGGAGAGGCATGAGGCAGGCAGCACTGGAGGCACAGTCTCCCTCCTGGGTGCTAGACTGGGCCAAACCACCTCAGGCCACCAGCCCAGGATGGGACAGAAGGGGACAATCTGTGACCTAGTGTGTGGCACCTCCGTGTGCCCACCAGATTTTCCTCAGCTCCACTTCCCTACTGCAGGTGCTCATGTGCCAACCCCAGTGCGAGCCACAGGGCACGGCACGGGCATGGGGTGTGGCACAGCTGCACATCATAGCATAGCTTTGGCACTACCCAGCTGTCAAGTGGCTCTGGTGGCAGGATGCCCATCCCCAACACTTGCAGCCCCCCACCCCTGGCACCGGGACTGCCCTGGTCCCTGCCACAGGGTCAGGGCCACATCAGGCACCATCCTGCTCCCTCATTCTCTGCCATCTCCATGTGCCCCACCTGTGCTAGGGTAGGGGGGTTGTCTCTCAGAATGTGAGGCCTGAGGGGGATGACACTCCTCCGTGCCCTGCTGGGACGGTGTGTCATGGCCTGACCCTGCACCCCCCAGCCATGAGCCGCCGCGTGGTCCGTCAGAGCAAGTTCCGTCACGTCTTTGGGCAGCCGGTGAAGGCCGACCAGATGTACGAGGACATCCGTGTCTCCAAGGTGACATGGGACAGCTCCTTCTGCGCTGTCAACCCCAAATTCCTGGCCATCATTGTGGAATCAGGTGGTGGTGGGGCCTTCATTGTCCTCCCCCTTGCTAAGGTGAGCAGGGGGCCCCTGGGATATATTGGGGGGCACATGCCCATGGGCTTTGGTTTTGGGGGGCTGCTGATGTCTCAGAGCCCCCCAGCTCATGGGAAGCACAGCTTTGCCCCAACATCCCTGTCCTCATGTGGGCACTCAGGGCAGAGACAGCCTCGGGTGGTCATGGGCAACCGTGAAGGGTGATGTCCCAGGGGCAGCTGAGGTAATGTGGGATTTCTCCCCAGCCCAAATTCCTTGGGGGCATGTGGTTCCCGGGGAGCATCCCCGTGAGGTGAGGATCTGCCCTGCCCACCCCAGCAGAGAGAGTGGGGACCCCATCCCAGCCCCTTCATGCCATCACAGGGGACACCAACCAACCTGTCTTGGGGCACATTCTTCCCCTTTGTGTCCCTCCAGGGCTTTGTGCTAAGTGAGCCCTATTGTCACAGTGTGCCTCAGTTTCCCCGTTCCAGGGAGTTGCAGAGCTCTGGCCACCACCAAAGCCCCCAGCGAGTCCCCACTTGTGCCACAGCCCCACGCAGTGGCTGGGCTGGGACTTGGGAGTCTCCCAGTGGGGTCTCCCTCGGCTGCTGGGGGCTCATCCTGGCACCTTGGCATTGCAGACAGGACGGGTGGACAAGAACCACCCGCTGGTGACAGGGCACACGGCGCCTGTGCTGGACATCGACTGGTGTCCCCACAACGACAACGTCATCGCCAGCGCCTCCGAGGACACCACCGTCATGGTGAGGGGCCGGACCCCTGGTGGGAGGGGGTTGGTGGGAGCTGGGGGAGCGACATGGAGCATCTTCCACCCCCTGTGGCTTTGCTGCCTGCGAAGTGTCACCGGGCTATTTTTAGCCCCGTGCCATGCGTTCGCGCTGGCGGCGGCTGCTCTCTCCATGATGCAGCAGTTTGTGCTAAATATACTCGCCCTGGCGACTCAGCACCCAGGAATAGCTGGGGGGGCTACGGGCTGCACCTTGGCTGTGGCCCCCCCCCCTGCCCAGCAGCACCCTGAGTGCCAGGGATGTGCTCTGGGATGCAGATGCTGCTGCCATCACCTCACCACCCTCCCTGGAGCCTGAGCTGGGATTAACGATGAGGTTAATTGGCTCTGGGGCGCTCATCCGCTTAGTGCTCAGACACGGGGTGATCCCCGTTCTCTGTGCTCCCACCAGGTGTGGCAGGTCCCTGATTATGTCCCCGTGCGCAACATCACAGAGCCGGTGGTGACGCTAGAGGGACACTCCAAGCGGGTGGGCATCATCTGCTGGCACCCCACGGCCCGCAATGTCCTGCTCAGTGCAGGTAGGGGGGGCCCGAGAACCCCCCTCCAGGGGCAG